GGCAACACTGGGTTATTGGCTAGTTCTCTGTAATGATCTGTTCTAAGATGTCTATACCCCCCACCCTTTGAAATATCCTACTGTCTGAGGTGAGTCTGGCCTGTTCCCTGTGTCCTTCAGAAGGGATTTTAAGGTACCTGTCTCTACCAGTTGGCATGGGACCTTTCAGGACTGCACCAGCCCTGCTCTATGTGAGCCCTTGGATTTTTATTCTTTTCTTCTATTTAATTCTGATCATTTCAACTGTTTCCATATTTACAACTATTTTACATTATTATTTTATTGTACCATAAACCATCCAGAGTCACTCTGGATGATGAGATGGCAGTGTTTTAATTAGTTAGTTAGTTAGTTAGTTAGTTAGTTAGTTAGTTAGTTAAATAAATAAATAAATAAATAAATAAATAAATAAATAAATAAATAAATAAGATTGATACAAGATGTCTATCAAATGGATACAATATGTTCTAATGTCTCTTTCCTGGTTAGTTAATGAACATTCAGGTCTCCATAGGCCTATACAGTATGTAACATTCGTAATTATTTGGTCCTAATGCAAATTGACTCTCATTTTATAGCTTGTTTGAAGGCAAACAGCCGTACATAGAGAGAGCTTGCTGCCATTTTAAACAACAACTTTTATGTTGTTCTTAGCACTGAGGAAGTCATGGATGAAATGAAAGAATATACAGGCAATGAAAATTATAATGTGATTATTAATGCTTGTAATTTACTCACTTTTTAAAATCCTAATCATTAAATGCATGTAAGTATCTACCACACAGAGACAAATTCAATAATTGTGATAAACTCCATATATCTGGCTATAAAGTGACAAAAGTTTATGCCCTAATGCTGGGGTCAACAACCACTGGTCCGTGGACTGCCACCAGGCCGCAGCATGCCGGAAACCGGGTCGCACAATCAACCGAAGCCCCATCCACAGGATGCAGGCCGCATGTGAAACTATGCCCCCTCAGTCCATGAAAAAACTTCTCCCCACAGAACCGGTCCCTGGTGCCCAAAAGGCTGGGGGCCGCTGCTCTAATGTACATATTAAGTTCCGAAAGATTATTTCTAATTTCAGAGTAATACTTGGGATAGGGAGGAGTCTATAGGATAATCAGTCAAGGCAATAAATATATTGCTCGAAAATAAGATATGAGAAGTGGGAGGATGCTGTTTAAAATATACAACGGCTGGCAGTTGAAATAATTGATAAAATCAGCATTCGCTGTTGTTACTACTTCTCACTGTCAGCCCTGGAGGCCATTTTTTTCTTGGGATCTTCAGGGCTGCCACACTTAGTGTTGTGGGAAAGTGGAAGGGTGGTTTGTTAGAAAATGAATTTACCTAACTTGTTGGGTTGGCAATATATAAACCATAAATATAGCTTTAAGACTGCTGTGTTACTGTATTGCATCATACTGTGTCCTGATTGGTTAGCTCTGTAGCCAATGTCCTTAAAAGGGAGATAGAAACCTGGCATGGAGCTGGTAGAGTTATTTAGACATAATAACATTCTTGTTCTGTCCCCCTTCCCCACACAGGCAAACACACAACCAGGCACACCTGCCAAGATTTTATTAAGCAATCAGACTAGAAACCCTTGCAGATAAGAGTTTTGGCAGTAAACTGTAAAATGCCTGCCAAGTCAGTTTTCACTCACAGTAAGCAAGAGAGAGTTTATCCTCAGTCCAGTTCAGTAGCAAAAAATAATCCACGAAACAAGAGTTAGCCAAGGTCCAATCTAAATATGCACAAGCCAGATTTCAGGTAACGCGATGTGATCTCAGGTTTTTAACTTTGACCGTCACAAAGCCTGAAGAGCAATCACACCCACTTTTATTCCTTGTGGGGTGTGGCTCAGTGACTCAGCTCAATCTCTGGCCCTCCCACGCCTCTTTCATTGCTACACACGCTTCTCCCTCCGATGCTGCCTGGGATCAAGCCAGGATTCATCATCCTCGCTCCCTATCTGTTGTTGTTCCGATATGCTTTCCTCCTGGTATATCCAGGCTGTTCCTCTTGGCCTTTGGATGGAACCTGAGGCATTGCCAGAGAGGAGGGTCCTGGAGAGGGAGGTCTTATCAGTTCCTCCCCATCACCTTCTGAGTCCTCTTCCTCTGTTAGGACAGGCTCGGGAGTCGGGGTCACAACAATTATTTTCTCTGAGAGTCAAGGATGTTCAGCTTGCACCTGGAGAGGCGTGACTGGGAGGCATCTCCAGTTGGGACAGTGGATTGATTGGACCATGTAGTGGACTTGTGGGTGCAGGGGAAAGGACTTTTGACTTTCCTTTGGGTGGGGAAAACCTGGGAGCTTTCAGATTCGGGTTTTCCAAGATATGCCAATATGACATAAAATGGATCTTGGAGGAATTGTCTGCCTCAGAGTCTTACTTGGTTGGGAGTGTTACTTGGAACCCTGACACTCACAATTGTTTGATGGGATTTTAATACTAGTTTTCAAGATAGGCTGATAACTAATTTTGATTTTGCAGACTTCTGAAACGGGTTTGGGGGACCCCCAGGAGTCCTATGGGCACACTTTAAGAAACACTGTTTTAAATAATGATATATTTCTAGTATTTGTTAAGATACAGAACTTTTTTTTTTCATGGATTATCTGTTGTTCCAATGACAGACTCTGAATTGCAAACAATATACTTTATATGCAGGATCGTTCTTTCAAAATACAATTTTCTTCTAGTTTTAAAGAGCCTTTTTCCCAAGCTGAAATTAAATCAGATTTTGTTAACAATACAAATAAAAATTTGAAATGGAAATACAAACCAGTTTAGCTCATCATAACTCAGTAACTAGGTATGTCTTTTTATCTTTCAAGCAGATGATTGGAGCCTAGCTTTTTAATCCAGATATATTTGTCTGTTTACTTATTTATTTTCATCAATTGATATTGCCCATTTTGTAACAGTGACTCTTACAATATCCATGTATTACAGCAAAGGTTCTTTGAAGCAACTTAAAGCTGGGCCACGGCATTGTAAAATATTATTCAATAATGAAAACTATTATGTAGAAATATTAAATAATGAAAATAATTTATATGGACATTTGGTGTAATACCAAGACATAATCAGTTACCATCTTCACAAAATTGATTCTGTCCGCTAGATACATTTAAGAAGCATTAATAAGTCTGCCATCTCATAAGGCTCAGGGGGCAGAGGTGAGATCATACACCTTTACTGTTGTTGGAAGAGAGTTTGCTCCTTGTTGAAAATCATTTATATTTTTAAAATTATTTTTACTGAACTATGATTAACAAACAGTATTAGGTAACTTACATTAATATAACCATTTAGAATCTTAATGAGGTGGTGCAGTCAGCAAATACAGGTAATTCTCGACTTACAACTATGGGAAGCCCCCCACTCCCGCTCCTAGAAGAATGAAATATTTCTCTAAATGAGAAATGGAAAAACATACTTTTTTAGAGGCAGGAAGCAGACTCACTCTTTCTTAATAGCCCTCCCCCCAGCAGATATTTTGTGCTTATTAAGAAAGACTGGGCCAGCCTATCTACAAAACAAAAGACCTTCAGCTTCAGGGTGATGGGATTAAGAACAGGACATGACCCTTCAGGACATAATAGAATTAACCCACTATCATTTAGCAGAAGACACAGAGCTCACTACATTGCACAATCTCCTAAGGGTATTTCAGACATTACACCACCCCCAGAGCAGTTAAATCTTCAACCAAACTTAGCTCAGAAAAACAGCTAGGATTTGCATTTCCTCTTTTGCCTATAGAGCCAGCTATGAATCCTACATAGCCCCTACATGATCCCATAGGAATCTGACCACAGCCAATAGAATACATCTTCTTGCACAGGAACAGGAAGTTCAAGTGCAAAGCCCAAAGAAGGTATTAAAAAAACCCCCACTCTCAACTCCATTTTGTCAGCTGCCCAGAACCCATGTGGTTCTGCTTCATCAATAAACCATCTTTCCAATCAGCCTCCATGTTTCCAGTGTCTTTCTCCCAGCTTGGAACTGAACTAGATGGATATTTCTTCCCACACAACCATTCGTTTGATATTACAATGGCACAGAAAAAAGTGACATGGCCATTTCTCACACTTATGACCACTGCAGCATCCCCATGGTCACAGGATCAAACTGTGAACGCTGGGCAACTGCTATGCATTTATGACAGTTGTGCAGTTTACGACAGCCATTTGATTGTTAAGTGAACCCAGCTCCCCCCATTGACTTTGCTTGTTGGAAGCTATCTGGGAAGGTTACATGACTCAGGGATAGTGCAACTGTCACAGATATATATGCCAGTTGGCAAGTGCCTGAATTTTGATCACACAACCCTGGGGACGCTGCAGTGGTTGTGTGAAAAATAGTCATAAGCTATTTTTGATGCCATTGTAACTGTAAGTTGAGGGCTACCTGTAATATAAAACACTGTATTCTGATACATATTATCTTGGTTGTTGTCCCAAAGGTAATCAGTATGCTGGACAAAAATGAGAAAGGAATGCAAATAAATATTCCTCATGGGTAAAACTCTGTCCAGTCCAGTATTGCTGGTAGGAAGGTATGGGTTTAAGAGCAGAATATCTGGTATGGAAACCGAAAGACCATTCATTTTAATTGCAGGTGCGGGTAAAAGCATATATATATATATATATATAACTATATATATATAGTTCCAAAGTCTCCAATGCCTGTGCACATTTTCATTTCCTAATTCTAAAGTTTCCAAAGTCTCTGATCTTCAGATTATGGGAGCTGCAATATTAATTTATCCGAGGCCCCAGGCTGCAGTAAATTCAGTAACAACGTCACCGCTAGAGAGCAAAGATTTTTTTTTTTTAAAGGAAATTTTTCTACGCAGGCCCACCGACGTTTGTTCCCGCGCGCTAGGTCTCCATCACCGCTCTGGGGTTGTGAACCGCAAAGCCAATTCGCCCCTTTGGTTTCTCGCCTATTCCCTCCCCAATTTTTTTTTCTTTTTTTTTTTTGCCTCCGCCCTTCTGAGAAAAGAGGAGGTGGTGCCGCCTTCGCTATAATCACGTGACGGGCGCATCCGGGCCTTTTGCCTTCTCTCGCTCATCCCAACATGGCGGCCTCAGGTGAGCGGTGCTCCGCGGGACGCGGGCCTTCGCTTTAAGACAGGCCGGTAGCGTCCGGCTCGATCTCATTCCAACGCCGAGTTGCAGAGGAGAGGCCTGCCGCGAAGCGTCCGCGGGCCCTCGGCGTCTCTTTTAGGCCTGCTGGGCGCCGACGGGGTGGGGGTGGGGTGGGGTGGTTGGGGGTTGGGTGGGGGGTAGTGGAAGGCTAAACCCGAGTCGGCGCGCGCCGCGGTTTCCGAACGCGACCAGCGGCCCCGTGGGGGGGGGGGGGGGGGGGTTTGGGGTTCGGGCGGGCGGGGGGGGGAAGCGGCACCCGCGCGCCCGAATTAAGTGACCAGCAATCTGCACGTGGGGTGGGGGTGTCGGGTGGAGGGGAAGGGAAGAGAGGGAGAGAGGGAGGGAGGGGGAGAAAGAGCAGATGGAACCTTCGGCCGCCTTCCAGTGCGCAGCCGCGGCGGGCCCGGGTTGAAACGGGGAAGGGAAGGGCCTGGGCGGCACCCACGTGGGTGTCGCTCCTGATGGCTCCCCCACAGAGAAGAGTGGGGCTTGGGTGTCCTTTCTCGCCCCCACGGGCAGAGAGAGAGAGAGAGAGAGAGAGAGAGACTCCCTCCCTCCCTTTTTTTAAAAAACCCCGCTTTCTTTCTGCCCAGCGCTCCTTTCCTTTCCCCCCCCTCCCTTTTATCTTCCTCCTGGAGAAAGGACTGAGTAGTTCCTGTGGGGAGTTGTGTCTTGTCTGTCTCTTAAGGGGTCACGAGCACATGAGGTGGCCTACGGGGCCCTCTCGGCCATTTGCTTACAACCCTGTCGTGAATCTCCCGCAAGCAATGACGTAAGGAGATCCGGCCTACCTTGGAGGCTGCTGCTCTTCAGGGCTGCTGGGCGAAGATTGGAAAAAACAACAACAACAACAACACAGCAAAGGGTCCGAAAGGGGTTTTTAATGCAGATCGGTTGTGTGGCCGTCGTTGTCATCCTCTCTTTAAGAAATGAGAGGAGGCACGGCCTTCTCTTTTTTTGGGAAATGGGAGGAGGAGGAGGATGGGGTGCACTGCCTAGTCCACGGATGGATTTCTGTACCAGGCAGTAAAGTCTGCACCGGGTTTACTTTTCGCTTCCCTGCCGTTCCATACCTTTGTCAATTAAACACGCCGTGTAATGGGTGAGTCCTCGTCTTCACAACCGGAAGGGAGCCCAGGATTTATGTTGCTTAAGTGAAAAACTGGTTCAGGGAGTTTTTGCCCCCGTTTTATGACTTTTTCTCACCACGTTCGTTAAAAGTGAATCGCTGCAGTCGTTAAAATTAGTAACACGGTTGTTAAGTGAACCTGGTTTCCCCTTTGCCTTTGCTTGCCAGAAGGTCACGAAAAGACAATCACGTGACCTTGGGACACCGCAAGGGTCATAAGTATGAACCAGTTGCCCAAGCATCTGAATTTCGATCGCATGGCCCTGGGACACTGCAACTGTCATAAATATGAACCAGTTGCCAAGCATCCAAATGTAAATCACATGACCGTGAGGATGCTGCACCGGTCATAAGTGTGAAAAATGGTCATAGGTCACTTTTTTCAGTGCCGTTGTAACTTCAAACGGTCACTAAGCGAACTGTTGTAAGTCAAGGACTACCTGTATTTCTAAAAATGATGTTTATATTCATGATCTTCCTAGAATAGTTCTATGTGCTAAATGTTACTCTTGTAACATTTGCCATAATGCATCCGTGTCCATTATATGTTGCATATTGATATATGTGGTAGAATGAACTCTTATCAGTCCAATCTATAGAATAGTTTTTAAAAACAGTTTTTGTTGTTCAGTTGCCAAACTCTTCGTGACCCCATGGACCAGAGCATGCCAGGCTCCCCTGCCCTTCCTTGGTCCCTGCTATTGTCCTAATTTAAAACAGAAAGCCAGTAAATCATGAAGCAGATTGCGGTAGGGCTTCTGCATTTATGTTCTTCTACCTTCATGTCTTTGTGGGTGGGTGTTTACTATTGGGAAACATTCATGAATGACGTCCCTCATTAAAATATCAAATGATTCTGATGACTTTAGCATTTCATTATCTTATATGAATAGATAAAGCCTACCCTGCAATCATTTTTTTCCAGTAGCTTTGACTGTGCTGTTATATGCGTACTTCAGATAATACTGCTTATGTAGCGTTGTCCTTGGAAGGAATACCTGGGCTTGTAATGTACTAATCATGATCTTGAATAGAATTTTGTGATTTAATTTTGAGGCTTTTAATATGTGCAGGGATTTCTCATGTGGTAGAATGTTATCATCTGCACAGAAACTTCTATCGATCATAGAGTGACCTCTCTTTACTGTTAAAGCCTTAATTAATTTCTAATTGGATATAACTTCCTATTTCTAGTTATTTTCCCTTATCTGCCATTACTGTCTCAAATATTTGCCCAAAAGGTATTTTTGGAAAAAGAATGATAGATCTGGGATAGATTTAATAGGATTACCAGATAGCAGGGTTGTTCCTAGGGTAGCTTGATTGAGGAAACATATTAGAAGAATATTTAGACATCAAGAATTTTATCACATTATTTGTCAGAAGATTAGTGCCAGCAGAAATTTTCTTTAAAAAGTAGCTTTTTAAGTTCCAATAATTTTTACCTTCATCTGCATTTTATCTAGGAAGTTCTGTATGTTTTAGGGTGCATTCTCAGTTCATAAGGAATGTGGCAAAAAAGATTTAGATGTGATTCCCCAAGATGACAAATTGAAGCATGATAGTTAAAAACATTTACTTAGGGATCTTAATCCCCCTTCCCAACTGGGTGCATAGAGTGCACATTTTAAAAAAAATGTACATATAATTGCAAACAAATATAATCACAATAGAAAGTGGTTGCCAGCCAGTATACTGTAGATATTTTTGTAGAAGTATTCTAAAGTATACTGTATCTTGAACTTGGAGCTGAACCCAGAAGGATATTTCTTCCTACAATCTTGACTGCACCACTCACTATGCTAGAAATCCAGCATATAAAACTGTGTAAATACTTTGGGGGGGGGGGGGAGTTCTTTTCATTCAATGATGTCCAGTTCTTAGAGGCTGCCTGGACAAGTCCCTGCAGTTTTCTTGGCAAGTGGCTTGCCACTTCCTCCTTCCTAGGACTGAAGAGAAAATGACTAGTCCAAGTTGGGTCACCCAGCTGTTTTTGTGCTTAAGGCGGGACCAGTCTTTCAGTTTCTAGCTGATGCCTTAACCACTGAAACCAAACTAGCTTTATAGTAATCTAAACCTTTTAGGAATAGCACCATGCAAAAGGCTTAGATTCATTTAAACTCTGTTATGCAATTCCCTGAATGTGACTGATCCTTTGTCTTAAACAGAAGTCCTGTTGCAAGGTTGCCCATACTGTGACCAACACCCAGTTGTTAGCACATGAAACTGATCAACACAGTTGAAACTTTGGGCTTTCCTAGAAGTCAGGCATATATGCCGCAGGCCCAATGCCTGTATGTGCCTACAAGTCAGTATTGATTCAAAATATGTGCCTTTGAATTACTGTTGATCAGTTTTAACTTTTGATGGTTGTTTGGAGAAATTGTTGCAATGTTCTTGGCAAAATTTCAAAAGTGGTTTGCCCTTGCCTGCTTCCTATGACTGAGAATGACTGGCCCATAGTCACCCCGCTTTTCATGCTTAAAGCTGGACTAGAAACTTATACTTTCCCACTTTGTAGCTTAATGTTTTAAACACTATACCAACATGGTTCGCAATATTTGCCCCACTGCAAAATTCATTATCAGATGCATAAATATGGGAATAATTTGCTTCATGCTGGAATTCTGAAAATTAATCTTTAAGGTGTATTTATCACTTTAAAAACCTAATCTCTATATCAAATCTATTTTGTTTTTCAAGATAGTGCTAACAGTAGGGTTTTTTTTCCCCCTCCAGGTGAGATCATCTGGGTTTTCTTGTCCTTGTCACCTATATTCCCACTCTACCCAGAAAAGAATCTAGACTGGAAATGATGCAGTGTGGGGAAATAAACTGAACATGTCATCCACTTTTATACACATTAATTCACAGACATTATTGTCCCAAACTGTATATACTATAACGTAAAAAAAGATAAGAGAACAGGCAATTCTAGGTGCTCCTTTGGGGAAAGAAGATTTTCCCCTCATTTTCCAGTATTGCTTTGGGGTACATTTTTGCTTTTTCAGACAGATGAAAATTAATAATAACATAATGTAAATTATGTTAATGTAAATTTATATTAATAATATAAATCTAAATTTGATCTGGTAACAAACTGATGATCTGAATATGTGTGACAAAGTTAGGTTTGATTTATATCGGGATGCGTCTTGGCAATTTACTCAACTTAAAATATTTGGAATTTTGTTCTTGATTCTGTTTTTTGTTAAAGATTACTTATGTAGCCAAAGAATTACTAAGCAAAGATAAATCTATGCAATTAATAGCAATGTTTTTGACATGTGCTGTTTGTTAGCAGTTGCACCAGACTTTTCTTTCTGAAAAGCAGCAAGAGGATTTTGAAACAATTTGCTGAAATTTTCTCATTTCATTGGCATTTTCTTATTTCATTTTCTCTCTGGAACATCTTCACTGCTGTGAGAGCTTGGGGGATTGATTGCCTGAGGTGAGATAGGTTTTGTTATTTTATAATTTTCATTTGATCTTTTCCAGGGAAGCCTAGAGAATATATTTGTAGGAAGATGTACAAAAATATGTAATCTTTAGATATAGGGAGGGACATTATATATCTGAAATATTCATATTTCAAACAAAATGTGAAAGATTCCCAAGCAAAGAGACAGTCTTTGTGGCATGACTTTTTCTCGTTGTGCTAGAACCATAAGAGTTCATTCCCTTCTTAGCATGTCCCCAACATTTCAGTTAACAAAATATGGTTCTATTTTATTCCATTACTGAAACATTTCTGCCCAAATGCTTCTTTGCCAGGGAAAATGAAATGGCACTCTGTTATTTTTCCAAATTTTGC